GGGAGGGGGGTACCCGACATTGACCAGGTCTTTCTCCCTCTTCTCTCTCTATCTCTATCTATCTGTGCCTATCTATCAATCTAAATCTATAGGTTCCATTTGACTCCCCCCCCCCCCTCGTTTCCAACGTCTTGGTTCATCCCCTAGTACTACCCCTGTTTTCACTTTCAAGAATCACAGAAACTATTTTATGGTTCTCTCAGATTCCTTTTCATTTGATCTTACTTTTCTATTTTTCTTGAAAAGTCCACGGAAATCACACGACATATTTCACATTTGACTCAATGAGAACGGCATGGGGGTCCTTTTAATTTCTAATATTTCTTAAAGTATTTAACTTAGGCCTACTCCGACACGTCTATATCCGCTCCATATCAAAACGATATCCCTTGTCAATTTGGGTGAGACTAACCCCAAGCTCTTTCTCTCTCTCATTGTCTCTCTCTCTCTCTCTCTCATTGTCTCTCTCTCTCTCTCTCTCTCTAATGTCCTGTGTGATAAATATTTTATTTTGATATAAAATTGAATGTATATGCATAATATAATTTCCTCTGCCAATTTCTCTCGAATAATACTTTAAGTAGAATAATATAGAAAATTAGAATGTTTTTCTCATAATATATGCATAGTTCATTTAATGCTTGGTTTGTGTTATTAGTATTCCTATAATTCTCTTATATATATTTTGTTTTAATATTTTTGCTGTTAATATCGTTTTTTTAATAATATTATTATTATAAATATTGCACAATGGAATCACATTAACTTGATGAAGCAACGAGAAAATCAGAAAATCAGTTCGAATCCTCTACACGGCATATAAATATGCCGTGAAGAAGATTCGAACCCGCTCATTTGTAGTCCCAAACTAACACCCTAGACCACTACACCACGACATAAAAAAGTAGTGCAACCTGGGATTCCACTGAATCCTCTAGGGGTCCTGAGGCTTCCAAATAAAGCCCAATCAGGGTTTCACGCCTGGAACAGTGCAGGAAATCATGATTGGGTTTCCTTACTCCCTTCTTCTCTTTGTTCTATTTCTCCACCTCATTCCTCTCCTCTTCCTCCTCATTCCGCGTCTCTTCCTCCTTACATTCCTGCTCTAAGAAACTGCTGTTGAGTTAGAACATAAGTGTAAATATGGGAACTCATTCTATTTAGGGCCACATGCTGTTATTGTATGAGATTATGTGTCCTCGCGAGGAAAAAGCGATTATGTGGCTGACTGGAGCAGTTGATGTTGGACATGTTGTTGCGTATGGGGGATTCCTGTGTGTGTGTGTGTGTGTGTGTGTGTGTGTGTGTGTGTGTGTGTGTGTGTGTGTGTGTATCGATGCATAGGTACTTACTCATAGCTAAATATGCATGCGTTTGTGCTTGCTCAATTATGCGTTGGAGTGGGTAAAAGTTGCCTCTTTATTGTAATTATATGAAAACACACACACACACACACACACACACACACACACACACACACACACACACACACACACACACACACACACACGCACACACACACACACACACACGCACACACACACACACACACACAGTTTGAAAAAGTTCAGAGGTATGCCACAAGGCTAGTCCTAGAACTAAGAGGCATGAGTTACGAGGAAAGGCTGTGTGAAATGCACACTGGAAGACAGAAGAGTAAGGGAAGACATGATCACTACCAACAAAATTCTACTACCAAAATCAAAATTAAAAATGTTTAACACGGCTGGTATGCGAAGAAAGAAACACAGGTGGAAACTGAGTACCCAAATGAGCCAAACGGACGTTAGAAAGAACTTCAGTGTCAGAGCAGTTAACAGATGGAATGCACTATGCAGTGATGTGGTGGAGGCTTACTCCATATACAGCTTCAAATGAAGATTTGGCAGAGCCCAGTAGGCTCAGGAATCTGTACACCAGTTGATTGACAGTTGAGAGTCGGGACCAAAAAACCACAGCTCATCCCCCGCAAGCACAACTAGGTAAGTACAACTAGGTAAATACACACACACACACCATACAAAAACAAACCCTTGTCTATAATCTTAGTGGGTTCAATCCACCGTACAATTGCCTGTCTTAAGATACACGTAGAATGCCTCTGGCGATGTTGGCTTACGGAGTGAGGGTCTTTCTACCTCCCCTCACATCTTAGTGACTCCTCCCTTCTTCTCCCTTCCTTACTCAGTCCCTCATTTCTCTCTCTCTCTCTCTCTCTCTGTCACTCTCTCTCTCTCTCATTTTCTTTATCTAATATATAATGATGAATCCCTCATAGTGAAGGTAGAAAGGAATTGGCAAAAATCTATAAAACAGTCGCACCACCATCACACACATATATAATTAAAGATTTTGTAAGAGTGATCAGGAATCAAATCTCCAGTTTTCTGAAGAACAATAAATCTCACAACCCAGGTCAATATGGTTTTAGAACAAGAAGATCGTTTCTTTTGCAATGATGAAATCAAGGAAGGATTTAATTTATGAGACGTTCGTGATGGATAGTGAAAGCTTGTTGAGAGAAAGTGAATAGTAGATAAGAATAAAGGTAATTGCAGAAAGCCTATTGGCCCATACGAGGCAATTATATTGAACAAAAGAGAATAAGAGGTGGATAGTGAGTGGATGATGGCGGATGGTGAATAGTGAATGATTATTAGTGAATAGTGAATGGTTATTAGTGAATAGTGAGTGGTTACTTGTTGATCGTGAGGGTGGATGGCTTGGGGAGAGTGGCGAATAGTAGGTGAGAGAGGAACGGATGGATTGTTACCTGAAGGGATGATAGTGAGTTGTATTTGGTGGATAGTTGATCGTGGATATTTTGGGATGTAAATGGTGAACAATAGGTGGTGAATGGTAGTTAGATTATTGTGAGTGATAGTGGGTGGGAGATGGTGGGTGGTGTTCACTTGAGTGGTTATAAAGTGGTTGGTAAACAAGTGGGCAGGGAGTAAGTGGGCGGGGAGTAGGTGGGCATAGAGTAAGTGGGCGGGGATCAAGTGGGCGGAGAGGCTTTACGCCCACTTTAAACCTTTGCTGGGCCGGTAACCTACAAGAATTAACAGTTTATCGATCGGGATTTACCCCTATTTGTTTTCATTTAGACTTTGTGTGTTTGTGTGGAGGGAGGAAGGGATGGAGGGGAGGGAAGGGAAAGGGGTGTAGAACGGGTTAGGACGGAGGCGGAAGGATAGAGATGAGATGAGGAAGATTAGGAGAAGGATGAAGAGTAGAAGAACAAGGGATTTAATCAGGGAGAAACCACGCCAATCGAAGAAATCCTTTCCTCGAGTATTTATCTTTTATAAATATAAATCCACCATTATTTAACACCAATAGAAAAAGTTAGAAGATGGGAAGATCATCCTACACAGAAAGGGAGAGAATATGGGTGGGAAAATGAGGATGAGAAGGGTGGAGGGGAAGGAAAAGGAAAAGGGGGGGGGGGGAAACCTTGTGGCAAACCCGAAACAAAAATAACACAGCGTGTTTATCGTAGAGATTAACGCGGATTACCTAGCCCGCCAGGACCGACCTCCCTCTCCCCCCACCACCATCCCTTGTGTTACCATAGCCAGACGACTTTGATGATCAATAGATAGTTTCGGAAGCGCGCGCGTGAGTGTGTGTGTGTATGTGTGTATGTGTGTGTGTGTGTGTGTGTGTGTGTGTGTGTGTTTGTGTGTGTGTGTGTGTGTGTGTGTACTCACCTATTTGTGCTTGTGGGGTTGAGCTTTGGCTCTTTGGTCCCGCCTCTCAACTGTCAATCAACTGGTGTACAGATTCCTGAGCCTACTGGGCTCTATCATATCTACATTTAAAACTGTGTATGGAGTCAGCCTCCACCACATCACTGCCTAATGCATTCCATCCGTTAACTACTCTGACTCTACTCTACTCTGTGTGTGTGTGTGTGTGTGTGTGTTTTCGCCTACTTAAATACAATGTTGTATAAATGTCGTTCGTTTGAGGGTTGAGACCTAATTACTGTGCCCTTGTTATTAGCCGTCATTAATGCAGTGATTCCTGTTTCTTGTTGTATCTACTTATGAAGCTATTAATTAAACTACTTTCTACTAGCTCTCATTCTAGTACATGCTAGTTATTCACTGTCAGTATGACAGACAAGTTAATTAAAACATCCCTGCGGCTCATCTGCTGCTCATGCTAACATACATATCCCTTCACTGAATATTTATTCTTTATCAACCTAATCAATTTCTATCATAATCTGGCATGTCGTAAGCATGTCTCCTCGATATCCCTATTCTTCAAGTGTGGTGAAGTGCTGGTACCGAAATCTTTCCTTATAGTGAAGTCCTCGCAGGTCTGGTATGAATCTTTTTTGTTTAATATTGTGATTTTTCGGCTTTAGTTTGACGTGTCTTTGGGTGGGAGTTCCCGTCTGGGACGCCATACTCTGGCACGGGCTTCGTGTGTATTGTGGAGAGTGTTCTGAAGGTCTCATTCTCTACGTACTCATATATGCTGATATCCTGTTTATGCGAGCCTCCGGTGCTATGGTAGGAGATGTCAACTCCCAGGTGTGCGTGTGTGTGTGTGTTTGTGTGTGTGTGTGTGTGTGTGTGTGTGTGTGTGTGTGTGTGTGTGTGTGTGTGTGTGTGTGTGTGTGTGTGTTTGGACTCACCTAGATGTACTCGCCTTGATAGGTCTGGAGGGAGGAGTATCAGGTCTTTACTACTTTTTGCGAATATTCATTAGATAAATTTAAATAACTCGGTTTCCCTATTCTTCTATAATATGTAAGGATCTGTACTTTATTGAGTTAGTTTTAGGCACGTATTCCTTCTGCTCATTCCTCTTATTTTCAACTGTAACACTAAATAAGTTTCTTCTGACATCTCTTTGACTCATGTGTGCTTAACTTCTACCACTAACCAATCGTTTTGCTATTTCTAGCATTGAACAATGCTTTTTTTAAACTACTTAATAAATTCCATCAAGAATGGGTATTCATATGGCCACCAGCATTAAAGTTAACCAAAGGCAGCAGCAATAGTGCCAGCACCAACAACAGCAACAGTGCCACCGCTAACAGGAGCTATAGTGCCAGCATCAACAGTGCCAGCAGCAACAGTGCCACCGCTAACAGAAGCAATAGTGTCAGCATCAACAACAGCAACAGTGCCACCGCTAACAGGAGCAACAGTGCCAGCACCAGCAACAGTGCAACCGCTAACAGGAGCAACAGTGCCAGCATCAACAGTGCCAGCACCAACAACAGCAACAGTGCAACCGCTAACAGGAGCAATAGTGCCAGCATCAACAACAGCAACAGTGCCACCGCTAACAGGAGCAATAGTGCCAGCATCAACAGTGCCAGCACCAACAACAGCAACAGTGCAACCGCTAACAGGAGCAATAGTGCCAGCAGCAACAGCAGCGTCATCAGCTGAGGACACACGGAGCTGGGTGGCGGCCCCACTACCATCACCTGTTCCTCCTGCCTCCAGTTCCCACGTGTGTAGTCGTTCGGTAATTCCCCTCTTTTTCGCCTTGCTGGTTCCCTGCCTCGTTACGTCGGTTTGTTCAGTCGAGCTGTGGAAGCAGCAGGTTGTTCAAGCGAGGTCGAAATGGCTTGTTAGAGTCTTTGAAAATGGTAAAGAAGGACGAGAGGAGAGGCGGAGTATGAAGGGAGATGTCAATAGACTCTTTAAGCAAGTGGAAACACCAGTTTTTTGTTTTATTTGCCGTGCGTGTATTTGTTTTGGGCTTAATTCACAAGTGGGCTTGAGTTGTATAAATAAACGGACGGGTCTCACTTGTTTACGGGTTGTATGATTGTAGACAGAAAGGTATTCGTGGATCACTTCAAGGTTCCTCTGGGCGTTATTTTCCGGAGTTTGGATTATATAAGATTTAAAGTATTTTAGGAAATAAATCACAATAACATTCCTGAAAACGTAGCTTACCCGCACATGTGACGGGGAAAGTGGCGATGTTTCGGTCCTTCCTGGATCGAAACTGAGGCAAAAAGATAAGAAAGCCTCTTAATGGTATTATTCCCCCCTATTTTTTATATATATATATATATATATATATATATATATATATATATATATATATATATATATATATATATATATATATATATATATATATATGTCGTACCTAGTAGCCAGAACGCACTTCTCAGCCTACTATGCAAGGCCCAATTTGCCTAATAAGCCAAGTTTTCATGAATTAATGTTTTTTCGACGACCTAACCTACCTAACCTAACCTAACCTACCTTTTTCGGTTATCTAACCCAACCTAACCTATAAAGATAGGTTAGGTTAGGTTAGGTAGGGTTGGTTAGGTTCGGTCATATATCTACGTTAATTTTAACTACAATAAAACAAATTTGACCTCATACATAATGAAATGGGTAGCTTTATCATTTCATAAGAAAAAAATTAGAGAAAATATATTAATTCAGGAAAACTTGGCTTATTAGGCAAATCGGGCCCTGCATAGTAGGCTGAGAAGTGCGTTCTGGCTATTAGGTACGACATATATATATATATATATATATATATATATATATATATATATATATATATATATATATATATGACAATGTCAGACCACGGAGGAAAATGAAACAGGAATTTCCTTAAGTACTTTCGTATATTAAATACATCTTCAGAAGGAATTCCTTCTGAAGATGTATTTAATATACGAAAGTACTTAAGGAAATTCCTGTTTCATTTTCCTCCGTGGTCTGACATTGTCATATATATATATATATATATATATATATATATATATATATATATATATATATATATATATATATATATATATATCAGTTTTTTATTTTCCTCCCATATGTGTGGGTTGAGATATTTAAAGAACTGTGATCACCTTCATCATCTTCCAACTATTTCCTGTTATTTTGGCAATAAGGTTTGTAAATGGTTTTCAATAACCTGAAGCGAAACTTGCAAGACCTGTCTGGTATTTAAAGACCGGAAAATGCAGAATTTCCCCATGCACTAGAGAGCTGGCAACTCAGTGATGCAACAAAAAATCATAATTCTCTTTCAACAACAGTTTACAGCCTGACAGCTCCTTTAACTTATTTAAATTCGAAACTATTCCAAAGCCATCTATTAGTAAGTGATAAAACTTACTGATCAGGTCACTCACTCATGTCATCAAAACGCTATCAGGTCAGATATGTTAGATATTGGAAGATCCTGGTTACGTACTGCCCTGCTATACGTTCTGTAAACATGTAATTATTACAGCAAGAGTTATTTCATTAGGAGTCATTACAGCAGGAGACATTAAGGTAAGAGTCGTATCAGCAAGAACTTTAGCAGAGTTGTCACAACCTGAGTTATTAGAGAGGAGTGATTATAATACACTGCTACGCTCAGTCGAGGAGAGCCTTCTGTATCTGTGTCAGTGAGCGAACGGTCGATATCAACACCTTTTAATGTGTGTCAATTAAAGGACGGACGATTTAGTCTCCTTTTTAATGTCAATTATCAAACGTTCGATATAGACTAATGTGTGTGCCAGTTAACGAATGGTCAATACTGACGCATTTAAGGGGGTGTCAATTATTGAATGGTTCCTACGGACATTATTTGTTGTGTCAAATAACGAATGGTCGATATAGACACTTTTCTAATGGGTGCTATTAAATGGCTGATATGGAAACTATTTAATTTATGCAATTGACGAATGGTCGATATGGACATTTGTAATGTATGTCAGTATACTAATGGTTAATATAAATATGATTTTTAATGTATGTCATTTAGCTAACGGCCGATATGGAAACTTCTTACTTGAGTGTCAAAGAATTGACAGTCCATACTGGCATTTCTGTAATGTATTTAAAGTAGATGTGATATCATCATTCTTGAAATGGATTGTTATTCTGTTTGAGACTCTCTATACTTCTCTGTCCATATATTAAACCTTAAAAACGTACGGTCCCTCACTCATTGTCTTTCCCTCTCTTTTCTCCATTACCCTTAATCCACCCTCCTCTCTCTCTCTCTCTCTCTCTCTCTCTCTCTCTCTCTCTCTCTCTCTCTCTCTTAAAAAAACAAAACAAAAAATGTTTGTCAAAGGGGCGCAAAATCTCTAGGTAACAAACGATATTTTATTCATGTCTTCATTCAGAAGAGTGAGTCGGAATGCCCGTAGATAAAAGACCAATTTAGAGCCGTCCGCACACTAGATGGGCTAAATGATCACATATACAGCTAATTTGCATTCTGCGCATAATGACGCGTGGATATGCCAAACACCTGTCCCAAAGAGAGGCTCTGGTGCGAATCTTTATTACAGACGAATTTGCGTGGCAAATTGTGCATCAGACTGCCACTCTAAGTTGTAAAGAAAATAAAGAGAGAGAGGATGTGTTTAAATTGTTGTTTTTGGGGAGGAGAGAGAGAGAGAGAGAGAGAGAGAGAGAGAGAGAGAGAGAGAGAGAGAGAGAGAGAGAGAGAGAGAGAGAGAGAGAGAGAGAGAGAGAGAGAAAGAGATCTGCAGACAGAGAGCAATCTATCACCAGGTCTGTTCCAGTTCCTCCATATGCTTCCATAATCTATACCTGTCCTCAAATTTCCCCTTTATTATTATCTTGTTTGCTTAAGCTTTTTATCTCATTTTTATTCCCAATTTATCTTCCATTTCAACACCCTTCTTTCAACTCTTTAGGCTTATTATCCCTAAAAAGCAACCCCCCACACTCCTGGTTTTCCTTCCATACCACATCACACCCTATCACTCCTCCCCACTCCATCTCTTCTCCCCTCCTCACTCTTCCTCCCCACCCCCATTTCTCCCAAGCCCATCACTACTCCCCACCCCATCTTTATTCCTCTAGACCCTACACTACACCTACGTTCGTGGGTGTAGTGGTCTTGGGGGTGGGAGTATTGACCATGTCCGTGCTCTGTACCCAAATCAGGGAGATGAAACCCATGGATAATCGATAAGTGATTGACTGACCACCTAAACCCACTATAATTGACTCAGGACAAGCCCTAGACGGCTGAGAGATGAATAGGATTAATTATCCTTCTTCCCTTCGCTCTTGTTTTCTTGCTTTCTGAATTCCCCTTGGCTTACATCTCATTATTTATATATATATATATATATATATATATATATATATATATATATATATATATATATATATATATATATATATATATATATATATATATATGATATATAATATATAATGATATATAATCTTGAAGAGTTGAGTTTGAGAGAGGTGAGTACATATATCCCTAAGAATCAACCCTCTACATCGACTGGTGTAAAGATTCCTGAGGCTATTGGGCTCTGTCATATCTACATTTGAAACTGTGTATGTAGTCTGCCTACATAATTTTATATGTGGTGATCATGTCTATCCTAACTCTTCTGTCTTCCAGTATCGTGAGGTTTCGTTCTAGTAATCTTTCCTCGTACCTCATACCCCTCAGCTCTGAGTCCAGCCTAGTGGCATACCTCTGAACCTTTTCCAACATTTGTTTTGTGTTTGATATTTGTGTTTTGTGTGTGTGTGTGTGTGTGTGTGTGTGTGTGTGTGTGTGTGTGTGTGTGTGTGTGTGTTCAAGAATGCAATATTGTGATAATTATTGCAACAGCTGAACATGAGAATTATCGGTGCCGTATTCTCAAATTATCTTAATTACCGACTAATGATCACAAAATTAGTGGCAAAAAGAGATACAATTTGGCGTGTGTGTGAAACCATTTGGAATAATTAATTAACTCCGAATTGATTCATTACTTATTCATTGACCTGATCTCCGTGAATGTATTGACAAATAGTATATTGATCATTACCATGATATTAATTACAGGTAATTAAAAAATGTGGGATATTTTTGGTCAAAGATTTATGTTCGTGTTAAGGTAATATTACCAATGATAAGATGGAGTCTTTGATATATTAAAAGGTAAATTATTAATTTAAATAACCAAACAGGTTAGGTTTATTATACGCTTTCAGACGCAAAAGTTTGGCGAATACTTTATCACAAACACTTCAGCCACATTTATGTATTTAATACATCATCTAATACAGCATAATACACTCTACTACACAAACACATTAATCCGACTTATTCAACATAATACACTCTCTTGTAGAGCTCAATACAACCTCTTATACAATACAATTCACCCTTTTATACAACATAATGCATCATTTATGCAACATGCAATACACCCTCATATGCTACACAGTTCACCTTTGTATACAACACTGAACATCCTCTTATACAACACAATAAATCCTATACAACACAATAAATCGTGTACGATATATCTTATACAACCCAATATCCTTTCCAGAACAAGCCCTCAACAGTTGATGTTCATCAACAGTTGTTCTACGGATGTGCATTTCCTGAACAACTTCTAAATATCTTCAGCATAACTACCTGTTCTACGAATGATCATTTTTCTCACCTGTTCAACCGGTGATAATTTTCAACACCTGTTAGAAAAGTGTTTGGTCCGCACTGTGCTAAAAAAAAAAATCCAATTCATGATTTACTGTAAATTGTCATTTTTGTTCAGATGTTCAAAAAAATCCTATACAATCCTAAACAGTCATATAAAATACCACATGTTATATGACTGTTTAATATACCACTTGTTCTCCCAATGTTCGTGATCCCCACCTGTTACACTAATATATATCACACTTCTAGTAATACATACCTTATTCATTATATAACTATTCACTGAAATTTAACACCAGGTTTATTGTGTTAAAGGAGGTGTTACCATCTTTATCTTAACACCTCGTTCCCCTCTGATAATTTCATCCAGGTGCTCACTATGGTATTACTCACTCCAAGAATATGCGCGTATACGATGCGTATCGATATATCGCATAACTGTAAACAGTTTGGTTACAAGGCCACGGGCTATTGACCTCACTTGACCTGACCTGACCTCTCACCAGCCGCCGCCACCCGCTGACCAGTGGTGCTCTGTGTTAGTGCTGTTGTATAATTGAATAGGAGACGATGTTTGATGTTTCTCTCTCTCTCTCTCTCTCTCTCTCTCTCTCTCTCAGCTGTTCACAAAAGCCAGTCTTAAGTCCACGTACACATCATCCCGCTCCACGACCCCAATCCCTTCCCCCAAACCTCCTCCTCTCCCCCCTCACAGACATACAAAAGACCATTCAGGCATCAAAACAAAAGCGGGTGTTCCGTAACCGCGCACAAAACAGCAATTCTCAGTGAACAGGGGAGAGGGAGGGGGGCCTTGCAAAGGCAAGCGAGCCAATGTATTGTTTTTGTTTTGTCGGGAAGATAATGCCTGGGGCGACCACTCTCGCCCAGTCACTCACAGGAAAGTGGAGCAAGACTGACGAGCCAACTCGAATCTAAAGGTCTGGTAGACTGCTGGACGTCTGAGTCGGGTTTTATTTATAATTGTAATTTATTGATTTTAATAAGGAATACGTTGATATATTTCTAAATTAGAAAAGTTATACATACACACATATTACATACATATATATATGACAGCGTCAGACTACGAAGGAAGAATTGAAACAGGAATTTCCTTAAGTACTTTCGTATTTAATAATACATCTTCAGAAGGGTCATGACCCTTTTGAAGATGGGTACCACCTCTGGTGCAAATGTGGGGACACAAAGCTTCGGAGAAGAAAATAAGGAGTATTCAGAGAAGAAAGACCATGTGAATTCTCGCTGAACACTAATATTTTCTTGTCCTACCACCCCCATTCTTTTGTATATACCCATATTTGTTTTATTTAAACTTTGTTACAAAATAAAGAGTAACATATGGGGTACAAAGATGAATCTCATAAGTTGTCTAGTTTCTCCAGCTTTTCAAGGGGCGGGCAGGAACCCTGAAACCCTCACTATAACCCTACCTACCATGCCAACCATATTAAAGAACATCTTCAGTAACGAATTGTGAAAGCATTTTCAATAGAAACATTTTTTAATCTGCTTTAATACAGATTACAAAGTCATGCAATTTGAACATTATTAGTGGTTTGTATAATTTAGATAAATTTTTGATTGATCAGTTAAATGGCGATTTGAATGAGATCATTGATATACATTTGTCTCAATAATACCTAAATAATATCCCCTTATCTCCTTAAATTACATTGTTCCTCACCTCACCTCATTCCTGCCTATATATCCACACCGCTAATACATCCTTCTGAAGATGTATTAATAAATACGAAAATACTTAAGGAAATTCCTGTCTTAATCTTTCCTTCGTGATCTGACATTGTCATTCCATTCCCCTGGGCTCTAAGAGACTCGAATCGCGGATCCCACGTGTTTGAGGACGAAGCTCTATCGACCGAGCTATTGGAATGTTTATTTCCACGAGGCTCTCTTTCTACTGGACACTAAGCTGTGGCACTAAGCAAAGCTCTTCTTGATGAAGTCAATAATTTTGTTGCATCTTGCATGCCAACCCTTGGAGCTTTTGTATTGCAAACCATGCAAGCCTTATTGGTCAGCTTCAACTCTATTTCAAAAAAAATAAATATCTATCTATATATGGGCTGACATACTCATTGATGCTCTGACACACCCATTGATGAATTGGCACACCTATGGATGACACACTAATGAATGAATTGACACATCTATGGATGAATTAACACACCCATGAGTGAAATTTAAGCATATCTCCCTGTGTCACTCCATGTACTACTTTCTGGTGTCACTCTCTTAGCCAACACATGGCTCACTCTTTGAGTCACTCTGCGTCACACCTTGCGTCACACCTCACACGTCTGCTGTCTCCGCTTTGTTTGTGTCGCTGCTTCCTGTCTTTTTCCTCCCGATTGATCCCTCTGAGGGAGGGGTTGTGGGGTAAGTAGAGGTAGAAGTGTGGAGAAGGGAGGGAGGGGATGGGTGACGGAAAGAGGTGGGGAAGGGAAGCAACAGGTGGGGGGTGGGAACTGGGGGAGCGGGTCTAGATATATATAAGCTCTTTCGACTCTTCTGGGCGTCAGTACGTGTCTCTTGCTCACCCAATCAACATCATGTCTAAGTCTGTAAGTAAATATATATATATATATATATATATATATATATATATATATATATATATATATATATATATATATACATATACATATACATATATATATATATATATATATATATATATATATATATATATAATATATATAATGTTACTAATATTCCTCCACCAATCATTTATGATCATCTTCACTCATAACCATCACCTCTGACAATCGTCTCTACTCATCACCTACTACGATTTCCACTACTCATCGTCAACACCTGACACCATTTCATCCACCAACATCTACCACAATCGCTTGCATTAACCACTCCCTGATACCCTGTATTTTCCCTTTTTGCTACACAGGTCTTCATGTCCCTGCTGGTCCTGGTGGCCCTCACAGCAGTCCAGGCGGCTCCTGGCTACATCGGAGGCATCGGGAGCGGGTTTGGAGGCTACGGTGGCGGCTTCGGGTACGCCGGGTACGGAGGCGGGTACAATGGAGTCGGGTATGCTGGTTCGGTGGGATCTCACTACGGTGGCGGCGTGGCTCGTGGCGGCTACGGGGGCGGCTATGGCGGCTCCCACGGAGGAAGTAAGGGGAACTGTGTTTGTGTGTGTTTGTAGAATGTTTTAATAAGTATCACAGCCATACAATGAAAAATAACACGGTGAATAATATGCAATAGATAATCAAATAAACACGAAATAACCCCACCCAGGCATCGAAGATACCAGCGATACGAGCCCTTTGTATGTTGTATCTCTCTACCTATGTTGTTGTATCTCTCTACCCATGTTGTTGTATATCTCTACCTATATTGTTGTATATCTCTACCTATGTTATTGTGTCTCTTCAGGCTTCAACTTCGGACGGTGAGGCGGTCAAGAAATCATCAACGTCGGGGGTCATCATCTTCTCCTCCTCCTACTCCTCTCTTTCTCCTGAGAGTCAAGAAGCAGGAAGAGGGAAGGATGGAGGATGGTCGAATATCTTTAAGAAATATGTAACACCGGTGAGCCTTAGGTGGAGACGCTGCTCACTAACAGGGACTCGAGCGAGACGTAAATGATATAATACAACGCAATACATCTTGTAAATTACTTTTTGGATAATCTATAAAATAAATATATCATGACGAAACTATGGTGGTATTATTCTCAGAATTCATTCTGTCCTAAAAGTCATTTAAGTAGTTAACATTTGCATTCCATTTTCATAGTATTTTCCATCTAGCGTTATAACATTAGCTTAATTTGTCACAGAAACATAACATTTCCGAAAAGAAACATTATTTATAATCGGGAAAATATTGACATGTATGCAAATAAAAATATATAATAAATACAGCAAATGCTACTATAACAATAAAACGTTAATAAATTTGTAAACAAAATATGCTGTATATTGCCTCGAAGGTCGAGGAAATGTGGCTTGGCTGGTAAAGTTGACTAGCTGACTAGTCAACAACTATCCCCGTTGACTAGTAAAAGACACAGAAATTTTTTTTCCCCAAACTGCTTAATTTTTAACGCTGTTTTGTAATTGTAGAACCAAAAATATCCTATGGAAACAAAAGGAAATAGGAACGTACCTCTAACTGGAAGATTTCCCTCACACGATGAGCTGCTATATTCACTTACCTGTAATAATATAAAGATATTTAAAAATATATGATTTTATACATACACTTCAAATATATTTCAATCTGTTCATAATTTATTAGGTCTAAATCCATATATAAGTGAGTAATGCACATTAAGTGTACACTTGAGGCTCGAGGTGTTGCTTACCTTGAGACGAGACGAGGGCACTTTGCTCCATCGCCTAGTGAGGTCACTCGTAAAAGTAAAAGCCTGTTTCCGATTGGTTTTTACAGCAAAACATTAAACTTCCCCAAGTCAATATTCAGTCACGAACTGAATCAGTAGATTTTCTTGTCTTAGTTTCTTGCCTGTTCTTACTGATAACTACAGAACACTTTTTTGGATCATGCAAGACCAGCACCGAATAATTACAGCACTCGCGGGCAATATAAACACTTTGGAAGGAACTCGAGATAAGTCGTTGTTTACCGTCACAACAGATAGTTCACTCGTAACTCACTGGGACCAAACATGCATTTTCTCGTTCGTATCCGGCTGTTGATGAACATTTTCACTCTCACTTGAGACGTTTCCGTCTCACTCGACACAACACAGCCACAAGTAACATCTTAATGATCTGACCCGCGGAATTAAAAGGATTAGAATGTCCTTGTTTTTGGTTTCGAATGTACCCGCTCATAAACCCACTCGAATCCAGGTGATGCTCCATCCGGTCCGTTTCATCACAGCTGTAACTCGCCCTCTGGCTATATTCATTCCAACAGCCCGTCCTCATCAACAAAGGCCAAATACTCGTTAATCTAACCGCCGTCATACCCCCCCCCCTGCTTATAAATTAAAAACAGTTTACACACGACTCATAACAGATGACGTTCGAATATTTCTTGAATAGTGCTTCGCTGACGAACTCTGCTCGAAATGCTTCATTTTGCTTCAGCATTTTAAATGCTTCATCTATGTATTTCAAGTACAAATAATCGCCAGCAGAGCCTAAACACCTAACCAACCCTACGCCTAACTATACATTCAATTTTATTGAATAATAATAATATTAATTTATATAAGAAAAACCTTATGAAAAACGAACAAGATCGAGATATGCTCGAACTTCTTTAGTTGTAAGTCGTGTGTAAACCGTTTTTCATTTATAAACATGGGGGTTTGATGTAATTCAATATCTTGCTGGATGAAAAGGTTAGGAAAAAAGGGAGACCATCGACAAGCGGCCGGCTTCCTGTACCCGTCGAGAGCGTTTGGGCAGGGTTTTTCAAAGTGAACCATTACTGGGGTCCCGAGACGCTTATGACAAGGTCGCAAGGTCAAAAACGTTAAATTTTGGGTAACTTACTGACGTAATTTGTCACCATAATTTTGCTGTCTTTACAAATATGTGTTAAGAGGATATTTGTTTGCAAAACGATCTGTGTTGTTTAACTTTAATAAAACACTGGATCAGATATATTTAGAGTGCTGGAATATTGTGTCTAGAAATGGTGGTGATCATTCCCACTTACTGTACCACACTGAAGGTCCCTGGCCTCCACGGGGGCAGTCATTATAAGCTTCATCAGATAAGAATTCATAATAACTCTTTGGTTTTTGGAAACAAAAATTTGATATGGCATTATTTTGTAATACGAAATGGATAATGAAATTGTCATATTTTGTCATGTCTAAATGGACCTAATTTGAAACCACAAGAAGAAAATTATTTGTTTCGACACTGAAGTTGTGAAAGGCTTACTAAAATCTTTACTACTGTATTAAGCCTCACTGTGCTAAACACTAGAACTCTATTGCAACACATTTAGGAAAACAGCGTCACTGAGGAAAGTCTGAACAGGTTGCAAGGAATAATAGTTACCCCCTCCCTGTTTTGTTTGCCAGATTTCATCATTTTCATAAAGCGAACTTAGAAGAGAAAATGAGAAGCACTGGGAAAAATGTCCATTTATTTTTAAACCGCCCGAATATATTGTACGGTTGAAACTAACATCTGAAAAATTATAAAATAAGCTGCCCCACATCACATGGAACAATACATCAAGAACAAGGCAAAACTCATGAACTTTTTCAGTATTTTCAATTAGTGTTTCACATGAATATCTAATCTTAGGATGTGATTATTTTCGTTACTTCCAATTACAACAAGTTACATGTGTGAAGTTGGATTTTCTGCTCTGATAGATTTAAAAACCCAGAAACTGAATAAGACATAACAGTTGACACAACCAATGTGCCTATAGCACTATCGTGTGAACTAGGCCAGGATTGATCAATTATCTATGCTATAACTAACGAAACCTAAACATCTTTCCTCCCCTCATATTGGGTTTGCTTACACTTAATAAACAGTTAACGATGTTTCGAAACCTCAGAATTCATGGTTATTATTGTTATAAACAGTCTTGTAGAGCTACTTTCATAAACATTTACTAAACGTCAATAAAGCAGCCAGGCTTGGTGAAAGATGCAGAGGTTTCGTAAGTGGTTACGTAATTGCTTCATGAATCCAGACCCAGACTCGGCGAAAATAACAAGTGGGAAATCCACAAAGTGAGTAGGAACAGGAAGTGAATAAATACAAATAATGAGTAAAATATAGAATAATATTTTTGGCAGTTATTTAATTTCTATTCAATTATATATTTTTCCACATTTTGGCCATTTGTTCATCACTTTTGTTGATATATTATTTAATCTGATCATTATGTTGTCTAAGCTTTTTTACCAATACTTTCGTATTAAGGTTTTTAAATATTTAAACACACATATGTAAATATTATTTTTCTTTTAAATCTTAGGTTATGTATAAAACGTTTTTCCTATAAATTTTATTAAAAACTTCACAGTTCATTACGCATTAAGAAATTCATGTCATACAATTACGTAGAATAGTAAATAGGTGGGTCAAATGATCAACAGCTGGGTCACAAGACCACCAAGTGGTCCATGAGACCAGCAGGTGGGCCAAGTGACCAACAAATGATTGCTTGAAGACCAACAGGTTGGCCACTAGATCAAGAGATGGGCTGCGAGAATGTCAAATGATCCACGAGACTAACAGGTAGACTAGGAATCTAACAGGTAAGTCATGAGACTAACAGATGGACTGCAAGCCTAGCAGGTGAACAATTAAAGTTTGCTGCGAGACCAACAGGTGGGCCAGGAAACCAACAGGTGGGTCAAGAGGCCAACAGGTAGACGGAGAGGTGAGCATTTAGACTTTTTACTTGCCGTAACCTGCAATAAAAATAAAATTTACAATGTCAGTGTTTACTTACTGCTAATAAAAACTTTACAGAAACCAGCTTGAGGCACTTGAAATAGTTGATTTTGGTACAGTTGAAATATATATGATCAAAATACTTACTGAAATCTTAAAAGTCTAAATATTATTTGGAAATGTTTACATTTTACTTCGATCTATTGAATTACAGGTAAAATCATTTACAATCCGCTAAGACCTACGAAGTCAGGAGATAAATAAACATCTGATTAACGATGATAATCCAAGATTAATCTTACCGAATCCGCCCCCGTATCCACCGCCGTTGCCAAAGCCATGTCCATAAGCTCCGTAGCCTCCGTAGGCTCCAAAGCCGCCACCATAGCCTCCGGTGCCTCCAAGATAGCCGGGAGCAGCCTCCGCTAGGGCCATGAGGACCATCAAAGCCATTACGAGCTTTATTGCCTGTGGGAACAGACTATATGAGTGACGAACGCTGTGATGGTTGAGACAGAGATGGTGAAGATTGACATGAGAGTATGTTGACAGAGGTGCTGGAAGCAGACAGATGTGGAGATGGTTGACAGAGGTGCTGGAAGCAGACAGATGTGGGAGAAGGTTGACAGATGTGGAGGAAGGTTGACAGAGGTGGTGTTCGTTGACAGAGAGGTGAAGGTTTATAGAGTTGACTCGGGATGACAGGTAATGAAGTTTGTGACAACACATAGATATAGCAAATTTAGAGAAAAATAAAGGGAAGAAATATAATAAATCAAGCAGGGGGAAGACAAAAATAAAGCTGTTACGTTTATAACAGAAAATAAGAAAAAGGAACTAGCCCCAAGACAAAGTTATAAATTTTCTAGTTTAATATCCTCTACATATTTCAAACTTTCCCAGTTTAATAGTAATTTTGATTTCAAAATCAGTGTATATATACTAGAGATCAAACTCCCCGTGCAAACCACAGATGTTCTATCTAAACTATATCTAATTACAATAGTATTAACTTTGATTAGAGTGATTAGAAATAGTTTAGGTAGCGAGAAAACTACATCAAATCAACACAAGGCAACTTACAAGCTTGGCAAACATGACGAGAGGACGCCGAGGTGTTGTTAGGATGAGTAGTTGAGGCGAACTAATGGCCATCCGGCTGTCTCTGGCCCTTATATACCTACCTGCAGAGGCAGTCCCACCCCCCAGACACTCAGCTGATAGAAATAAACAACTTGAAAATGGGTGTACCTCGAGTTTTGTGTTGAGTGGTGGTGAGTTGCTGCCCCCTGGTTGTGCATGTGTTGCTGCTTCCCCTGTCAGCGGGTGTGTGTTGCTGCTGCCAGTGTCAGCGGGCGTGTTACTGCTGCTAGTGTCAGCGGGTGTGTTGCTGCTGCTAGTGTCAGAGGGTGTGTGTTGCTGCTGCCCCTATCAGCGTGTGTGTTGCTGCTGCCCCTGTCAGCGTGTCTGTGTTGCTGCTGCCCCTATCAGCGTGTGTGTTGCTGCTACCACTGTCAGCGGGTGTGTTGCTGCTGCCAGTGTCAGCAGATGTGTTGCTACTTCATAATACCACACCTCACTACCTTATCAAAAAATACACTAAATAAAGCACTCTTAAAATATACTTCTTCACCTACCCTGTTAAGCTTGGCTACACAGCTTGAGGGGGAGGTGACTGCTTATTAACTTTAACTACACGCTTACTTAAAGGAGATTCAAAATAATAATCTATGTTGCCACTATGATATACATGACAATAAGGGCACATTAATAAAATCTTAATAAAAAATTGTAAAATAAAAATGCAAAGTTTATTTAATACAACTTGTTAGCACATCTTAATGTGATAATTTATAATCTCATTACAGGCAGTCAGTGGGGGTTTAGCGTGCTAATAGAAGACGATTGGGCGCTTACGGGCATACGAGATTTAAACAAGTTTGATTCGTTTTATCGTCTGTTTGTTTCTGTCCTTAATTTGATCCACCCCGATTCTCACACGAGGTGTAAGTCACTGATCCTCACAAGGTGTAAGTCACTCTGAATCTCACACGAGGTGTAAGTCACTCTGATCCTCACAAGGTGTAAGTCACTCTGATCCTCACACAAGGTGTAAGTCACACTGATCCTCCCACGAGGTGTAAGTCACTCTGATCCTCACAAGGTGTAAGTCACTCTGATCCTCACACAAGGTGTAAGTCACACTGATCCTCCCACGAGGTGTAAGTCACTCTGATCCTCACAAGGTGTAAGTCACTCTGATCCTCACACAAGGTGTAAGTCACACTGATCCTCCCACGAGGTGTAAGTCACTCTGATCCTCACAAGGTGTAAGTCACTCTGATCCTCACACAAGATGTAAGTCATTATGCTCTTTTTTGTCTCTCAAATTAAAATTAAGTAAAATGTTCGAAATGAACAAGGAATTGTTAGTCCTGAAATTGTAACTGCTATGGGTCTACTATGTAACTACGATAGATAACGAGGACTCAAGCTTATTAAAATGCTGTGTTATGTGATTCCAGGGCATATAGTCCTTAAACAATGGCCAAGTCTTTAACCTCTCCTGACATCATATACGACGAACGGAGTATAGGACTAGTTCCATATAGTTCCAATTTGGACCGATCTGGTACTGTTGGATCGGTAGGATGGAAGAATTTGGTTTGAAGGGACGGTTGTGTACCATTCCTTATCTCTGACTTCATATCCCACCTTCTTTTCCAAGTGCTGTCTAGTCATAGTGGCTTAGCGCTTTTTGCTGATGATTACATACATATACAAGAGTTTTTTACATTCTTGTATGTCACTATTAAGGTAATTGTTATGTGATTCCGATTACCTTAGCTTACCCTCTCGTTTTTCATTAATGTCTCTGTAACTACTCGTGAAGGCCTCCAGCCTCTCTCCTTTCTCACAGCTATTTACCGTTACTTGTGTGTATACCTATTATGTCCCCTCTTTAAGACATATAGAGATAAAGGGTATTTTGATTAATTGTATTGTGTCTTATTCCAAAATAATAAAACATTCCCAGTGTTCTACAATTCACATAATTATATCTTTAAATACAGCAATTTCATAAGAATCATCAAAACTCTGAATCAAACTTCAACACAATGAAAATAGGGATTTATCAAACCATCTTGAGGTTATATTGAGATGATTTCGGGGCTTAGTGTCCCTGCGGCTCGGTCCTCGACCTGGCCTCTACCCCCAGGAAGCAGCCCAAAGCCGCTGTCTAACTCCCAAGTACCTATGTACTGCTAGGTAACAGGAGCATCAGGTGAAAGAAACATTTTGCCCATTTGTCTCCGCCTCCACCGGGGATCGAACCCGGAACCTCAGGACTACGAATCCGAAGCGCTGTCCACCCAGCTGTCAGGCGCCCTCAAGTGCCATCTTCTATTAAAACAAATAATACAGAGGGGTTGTTGTTGTTGTTAAAGATTCGCTACCTGGAACAAAAAGTTCCAAGTAGCACGGGCTATGGTGAGCCCGTAGGGTTGAAAGACTTTCTTCATCTACTGACCGTTCAGCAGGAGGAGGCAGTGTGATGATTGTTTTGTAGTCTCGAACTGATGGTAAACAACTCGTCTTCTCAACTAATATACAACATGTTTTTTTATTGTCATCGTAACCAACATTTACAAATAAAACATATTAAGAGAAACGACTCGATATGTTTCAATGAATTGAGGGAAAAGGCTGTGTGATCCACTCAAGCTCAAATTCAGTTCTTATTCACATTCAGAAACTTTATTCGTGAAAAGTTATTCATTATAGTTGAATTATACTTTACACAAAATTTCTGCACATTATTTAGTAAAGGTAAACAAAAATATTATTTGTTCTTAAAGATTTATTACAAAAAAAAGTCCGTTTTTATGCGTAACGTTATTGTTTTTGGTCTGGAAGAATGTCATTTTGATAAATTATTAGCGATTTCACAAGCTTCATTTTTGACAGAACGAAGGCGGTAAAGTGAAGATCAACAGGTGGGCCTCGATGCCCAACAGGTGAGCCACGAGACAAACAGGCGGGTCCACACGACTCAACAGTAGCAATACAGGACAAGCTGGTGGGCCACTAGACTAATAGGCGGGTCCACGAGACTCGGCGGCAGCGTCACGGAGACCAACAGATGGGCCACAAAACAAGCAAGCAGATTCATGAGGCCAGAATACTCAACAGAGATTCAGCAGGCAGGCCAGGAGATTCAGCAGGTAGTCAGGTGGGGCAGGTGAGCAGGAAGCTATTCTTACTTGCCATGACCTGCGGTGAGCAAAATAGATCACATATATTGTTTAATATATTTATTTAGGTTTATTCATTCCCATTTTCGATATTTATGTCAAAGGAATAAAAAAGCCGCCTTCCGTCTAGGCCTAATACATAAGGACGTCATTCAAAATCTTTCCATATACCCTTTATCTCAATATGCCTTGATAAAACAGTTTGTAGCTATAAACTTCTATTTATTAGTAGTCTAGGGTCTATCTTACCATAGCCTCCGCCGTAGCCACCGTAGCCTGCTCCATAGCCTCCTCCGTAACGTCCTCCGTAACCTCCTCCGAAGCCGGTTCTGTAGAACCCTCCGCCATAACCTCCAAGGTAGCCTGGATCTGCGTCAGTAGTGCCCAAGAGTACCCCAAGGGCCATGACAACCATCAGAACCTGAGAGGGGCGGTAAATTAAGAATTATATCATTAAAGACTTTGCATAACCAAAGTCATCAAGATGTTCTCAAATTCAAACTAATGCCAATGCTCTACATTTCAAACCAAGTTTTCCAATGCATTTAGCAATATATATTTTAGACGACTTACAAACTTCGCCCACATGACGGATAGTGATGTTGATGCCTCGAAACTCTGAGCTGTTTTGGGGCCCTTGCAGATACCTGCTGCTCTTATATACCTGCTGGCAGTCACACCCCGGTTTGCAAGACACAGGAGACGTACCGGTGCTGTCTGTAACTTGGTTTGTAAACCTATAAAGTGCAAAAAATACGGCTATTCATACGTGCACGAATGTTACCAATGAATCACAATAGTCCTGCTTAGATCTTTCATACGGGCACGATGGCTGGGGAAGGGGTAGGGTGGGGAGGTTTCAGTGAAAAGCAATACTAAAACTATTCATACGGATGTAGGTGTTAAATGGGTGTTACATATACACAAGTCAGCAACACACACACAGATAATAGACACCTGTGTCGTGGAATGCCTTTGGCAGATGTTGCAGGCTTAGACTTGAGTTTTATCCTTGCACTTGCTTGGGTAGTTCAGTGTGTTACATTTATTCAAACTTATTTAAAATGCACACCAGTGGATTGCAGATATGAAGAATACACTTTTAAACAGTACACTAACACACTGGAATCGAACCAAAATACTCTTATTTGCTAATTAGCTGTCAACTACACTTCAGGAAGGTAACATGTAGTTAATCAACAAGATAGATAAATTAATATTATTTACTTAAATGGATTCGTGTACGCTAGTGAAGTGATATTAGAAGAGGTAAGAAAACAACTGCAGGAGGTGGATATAATGGCAGCCACAGACTGAGATTTATCTCCCTGAAAAAGGCACCAAAAACATTGTGTATAGACCCAATGCTATAAAAATAATATACTATTCATACTGAGAAATGGGGAGCTACGATTAATATGGTGGAAGCATACAAGTAAGGAAAAAGGCAATGCTCAATTTAAATACATGCTAGTATAACTTACAAAGCATTAAATGGTAGTTACTAGACTGATCAAACAGAGGCTCGCAGAACACCTAAACCAGTTGTGATGTGCATTTAAACACTGTCATGGACCCTGTGAAGGAAATTTTCTATTGATAAATTGGTTAAAGTTTCACAACAATAATATGGAACTCAAACAAGAAATAAATAGGGTTAGGAAAAACTGTATCTGCCTGGATTGTCTAAATAATTCAATACTGTTCCACCAACCCATCCTCCTAAGATTTCACGGTCAATTTAAAGTGTCCTCTCCTAACTTACCAGAGGAATCAAAACAGAAAACAGGACCATACGTCACTTTCGCGAGCGGCTTCCAGTTTCTAGTACGACAATTTTTGGTCTTATGTAACATATACAAGCGAAATGCGAAGTTCTTTGTAGGAGGACAGGTTGGTTTCACACATGAAACTCCTTCTCAAGCTAGAGAAACAAGTTGGTGTTCACGGAAGAGCGGTAAGATAGGAGAAAGAGTACCTCTCAGGAAGGAAGCAGAGAATTTCAGAGATAGATGGGATATCAGAGAAGAGAGTGGACCTATCTTGTTCCAAATTCATTTTGTCGGGGAAAGGCAGTCTGTGTATATATATCGTTTGGCTTTTATTGAGAGGCTCCCCTACTCCCAAAGTCGAACTACTGATCATCTCCTGGATGCAACCCCACAGCAAGCTGACTAACTCCCGGGTATCTATTTACTGCTTGGTAAACAGAGGCACTAGATGATAGGAAACGCGCCTAACCATTTCTGTCCCGTCCGGGGTTCGAACCCCGAACTTCCGATTGTGAATCGAGAACGAACCTACCTGTACTACCTAGACCCTTGCAACAACATGATTGATTATGCAAAATGTATGAAAATAATGAGAACGAAGAGAGAATGGGATACAACTTATTGTACAACATAATAGACACTTCAGATGAGGCCAATAAAACTGCAACTGCATATCTCAGTTAAGTACAAAATAATAAAGATAGGAGCGGGAGCGAAAAGACCATTACAGCCGTACAAAATAAAGGTTAACCTAACCATAAATCTAATGCCAGAGGACAGCGTCAGAAGAACACAAAAGTTACAGCCCCGCTCCTGTGCCAGGTAAGTCCACTACGGGCTCACCATGGCCCGTGCGACTTGGAACATTTTGTTATGAGAACCTGAATCTAAAACAACAATAACGTCAGTATACTATACAAATCTGGCCCTCGTTCATATAGCCTTCTCGAACATGGACACTGAACCCTCCGCTGAGGTATGTACATCTTAGTCTTGAGTATGCAGCATTAGCATGGAAACCCTTCTGAAAAGGTAGTGAGTAAAAGAAGCCTACACACACACACACACACACACACACACACACACACACACACACACACACACACACACACGCACACACACACATACACACACACACACACACACACACACACACACACACACACTCACACACGCGCGCGCACCGCCGCCAAAACACATACACACACAAAACACTCCAAATCCCTGATTTTATTTATGTTTAGTCACGCGGCTGCTCTCTCCCCAGTACGGCAGCAAGTGCTGCCTTTCACCCCTGAAGCAGCGCCCTGGGGCTATGACTGCCCGGGTATATAAAGTCTCCAGATGCAGACTCCAGCATCCAGAAATCAAGTTGCACTCTACAGCAAAACAACCTCTCTCTCCTCTGAGCATAATGTGGGCTAAGTTTGTAAGTAGATACAGTGATCGTGTTCCCAACTAGACTTGTTATATCACATTAAGTCAAACTAACTCAAATGAAATGTGTTTGCTGATAGCTGGTAATACTTGATGAATTTGTAGACAACTTATATTTGTAAAAGGTTATGTAAATATATAATCTTCAAGGAGCTAACCGATATATGTACTTTTTGTTCCTCGAGCAAGCCTCAGTAAAGCTATTTCTTTCTCTTTCAAACAAAGAAAGCCATTTGGAGGTATTCTAATTCGACGATTGTCTAAAAATTCCAAAATCAAGTGATGTTTTCTTAATTTTGAGTCTGTTTAGTTACTTTGATTCACACGAGGATTTACAACACCACCTCTTATGCAGGCAGCAAGTCTCAATAACCAGGTGAACATTGAACACCAAACCCACAACTCACACAATCATCTTGAACCTCACTGTTCAACAACTCACCCCCCCCCCCTCACAACAAGCTGTTTAGTCAATCAGCATATTGCCTCTACTGTTTTTCATATCTCTATCTTTATCCTGATACTCTCCCCCTCACTCCTCATCTTAATATCTTAATGCCCTTCCATCACATCTCATTCTCATAGTCTTCATCATAATATTCTTCGCCAACATTTCTTTCTGATCCCTTCCCATCATTCCTCATTCTGATCCCCTTCCCACACAACTCATACTGATTCTCTCTTCACTCCACAGGTCCTGATGGTTGTCATGGCTCTGGTGGCCTTCCTGGGTACAGCTGAGGCTGCTCCAGGCTTCGCTGGTGGCTACGGAGGTGGCTACGGAGGCTTCAGGGGAGGCTTTGGAGGCGGGTACGGCGGTGGCTTCGGAGGCGGCTACGGAGGTGAGCTTATTACTTAGTGGGCGTTGAAGTCACTGAGGCTAATTTACGCTCTCTGCATGATTTGAAGTTGGATTTAAAGGGTTTTATGTGGGATTTTTAATATAATAAATTCCTTCATATGGGGTTTTAACCAGGAATTTTTGCAATGAATAAAGTTATGGGTATTTGTCACGTCTTCTTTTCGTTGGAATTACTTACTAATAGTTACTTACTAATACTTGCTTACTAATACTTATGTGAACATTTTTAACTTTTAAATTATAACTTTGTGATAACTTTTAATTATTAAACGATAACTTTGTGATAAATATGAATTATTAAATAATAACTGTTAACTATTAAATGATAATTTTCTAATACTTTCCTGATAACTTCATTTATATTTATGAACATTTTCTAAAACCTTTGTGATAATTGTTTAATTCTTTTGTTGCGAAATACTTACACACTTTAATACACACACACACACACACACACACACACACACACACACACACACACACACACACACACACACACACACACACACACACAGACACGTCAACATTAACATACTAACAATAGTTTATGCATTTTCCAGGTGGTTTCTATGGAAGATAAGGGTGCATCCACTATCTGGTGACCATTGTCAATATATTTTGAAATAAATAGTTTGAGAATGAATACAACCTAATATTACTATCCTTTTGTGTGGTATATTCTGTGTGAGACACACGATGAGATATGCTCTGAGTGGGAGGTATATGCTGTGAGTTTTACTCTGTGAGTAAATTATACATTGTGAGCAATACAGTGTGGATGAGGAATATACTGAGTGAGAACACTCAGTATTTTTCTCATTCCCTAACACTCACTCACACTGTGAGTTAGCAATTTACTGTGATTGAATCTGATACCGATTAAAATACCAATATTAAAAAAATCATTTAAAATAATGCTTAAGGTAATGATTACATGAATAATTATGTCCCCTTTATTTGCAGTTATCAATGTCCACTTTTTCCTTATTTACTACCACTAACAACTACCACTACTACTTACTACGTCTACTACTACTACTTCTACTTCTACTACTTTTTCTACTTTTACTACTTTTCCTACTTATACTACTTTTTCTACTTCTACTTCTACTAGTACTGGAATCTTATGATAGAGTGATGGAATAGGGCCAAACTACTTGGACCAGTGGGAATTAAACCAAGTCCATGCATAGACCGAGGCCTTACCGGACAAACTAGTAGTTGGAAAACGAAAATTATTTATGTAATTTTCTTACTGCGTTATAAAATCGACGAATACACATGAAAATAGCCACTGTGACGTTTTTATAATAGAACAAAGAATTAATATTTATATTCAAGATGTTTGAGATCTGGCAAGATTCGTCTTCCTTACTGAGAAACTTCGCCACGTTCAGCACAGGTGTTTTACGCGCTGTCAACACCTGACTTTTCATCTCAAATCAAAATAGAGAGACTTATCGAAGTATCTTTTTGACACGTGCACATTTGTCAGTAATGATAACTTATTTGTTCAGCTTTATGATAAGATCAAAATCCCCCCCTTCCCCCCAAAAAAAATTAAAGTGACTTTTCTTTAAATTGTAAATTGTATTTAAATTTGTACACTTCATTCTTATTTTCACACATTCAGTTCCTGTATTTAAAGCTTCTGTACATTATTATTCTGCACGACTTTAATTGCCAGTTTCTTTTTCGAATTCAATTGTTGCACATCTAAGCTGTTAATAAAATTGTCATTACTAAAGAATACGCTTATTCTCTCTTAGTGCAGCGTCTAGAACACCTCAGTAATATTTGATTCAAGCCCTTTTTAAGCGTCAGCTTCTTAACACTTATTAGTCGCTTATCAGCTTATCTGAAAGCTTTCCCTCCTGTGAGCGATCATTGTCTTATCGGTGGAAAGATGATATTGTATTTTGGGGGCTAATAAATGAAATAGTAACCCACTGTGTATTTACTATTCGTATTTACTGTTTGTGTCTGCAGAATCGAGCTATTAGCTTCTTGGACCCCGCCTTTTTAACCAATCTATTATCTTCTATTATGTCTACTACATATATTTTTCTAACACACGCACGCGCACACACACAACACACATTCCCAGGAAGCCGCCCGTATCAGCTGTCTAACTCTCAGGTACCTATTTACTGCTAGGTGAACAGGGGCTTCAGGGTGAAAGAAACTCTGTTCATTTGTTTGCGCCTCCGCCTGGAGTCGAATCCGGGCCCTTAGGACTATGATCCCCGAGCGCGGTCCACTCAGCCGAGAGGCTGTGTGTGTGTGTATGTGTATAAATGAGTGAATGAGATACAGATTTACAAATTCCGGTGAAAATGTAAATTCACAGAAAAAAAACATATTTTGCAAGCTTTGGTCAATATATCCAGACATGTGTAAGGCAAGAGGACACTGAAGTGAGGAAGCAAGACATTTCATGCAGCTTAGGTGACATGACGTCTGATGGGGACATAACCTAAGCTGTACATAACGTCTAGTAGGCGGTGAGTCACAATAACGTGGCTGAAGTATGTTGACTAGATCACACACTAGAAGGTGAAGGGACGACGACGTTGAGCATGGTCCGGGACGGACCGAAACGTCGTCGTCCCTTCACCTTCTAGTGTGTGGTCTGGTCATCAATAACGTCTAGTACCTCAGACGTGAATCATTTACCCCTGAAAATGTCTTGAAAAATCTTGTCTATAATCTATTGTTCGTTTTTCAAGTTTGTTACATAAAATGTAACGTTCCGCTTTACATTCTCCTTTTTTTTATTTGGTAATAAATATATATATATATATATATATATATATATATATATATATATATATATATATATATATATATATATATATATATTTAAAGTCATTTATTCCTCTATATTCATTGAACTTTTTGAAAGTCTTTCAAATTTTCGGTCTTCAATATTTCCATATTCTTTTAATTGTGGACATTTAACAAATTTATTGGTACAGGTAGGGGAG